CCCCCCCCCCAGTTCTTCAACTGATAAGGATGTTTCAATGTTTGCTAAGAACCAGAAATATAGATTATGCTGACCACAGTTTTCCCTCTGGGAAACTGGAATTTTGGTCTGTGCTAGGTAGAAGGTGCCTAGATAAACAGCCTCCAGTTAAAAACCCTGGACACTGAGTCTGTAATAACTGTTCTGGTAGACAATACATCTTGTGTGTCGTCAAATTCAATACTGGATAATTAAATGAGTCTTATGACACCTCTGAGCAGAGCACTTGAGAGGTTCCCTGACTCTCCTTTTTCCTGACTGTGCTTTCTCTCCTTTCCCAGTAAGAAATCTTAGATGTGAACATCACAATATGCTCAGTCCCATAAACCCCTATAGGATATTCACTACACCTTATAGTGATCGTGGAGACCTCTAACAAATGAGACTAGTCAAAATTTCCTAACACTCAAGAGGATATAGCAAGAACACAACATTGTCTCCATGAGATTCCTGCCCAATATATATAACCTGAACCTAATTATGAGAAAATATGAGACAAAGCAAGAGACTTTCAACAAAATAACAGCTGCAAGTTTAAAGAGTCGAAATTATGGAAGTCAAGAAAAGCATATAGAATTGTTTAAAGAACTAAAAAAACATGTATGTTAAAGGTAATTATGTGAAAGTGAACTGGATGCTAATTTCTGTAAGAGACATTACTGAACATTTGGATTCAAAAATTAAGGTTGACAATAACAGTGAACATATCAGTGTTACCTCCTGATTTGGATTGGTAAGGTACTAGGAAACATTTCTTTGTTGATGGATAATAGCTATATATCAGACACCTTATATTATTCATATAAAATGTCCCTGAGTTTGAGACTGTTTCAAAATTTGAAAAAAATTATTATAAAAATGAGGATAATTCCATTTCTTAGTAACAAAATCTAGTCTTTAATACACTAAGAGAAGGTATAGAATCCTTTGTAGGAAGAGCAGAAACTAGGGGATAAGGAAAATACATTAACTCCTTGAATATTTCATTATAATGTTGAGAAAAAGACTCTGGGCTGAACTCAGTGGGACCGACTCACATTATGTATAGTCCTTCTTAAAGTCCTAGCTTGCAAGCACCCACCCATAGTAAGTGAGGGCTACTGTCCTTTTTCCTTCACTAAGGAGAAAGTTCACATAATCAGGCAAGCTTTAAAACCAAATGTTTGAAGCACTAACTATGCTAGTCTATGATTACTAAACAATAGCAAAACATAGAAAAATCATTTGATAGTGCAGAACTGTATACAGTTTATCTACTAATTACTTAGTGCAAGACTTAATAAAATTAATAGATTACTTTCAGATACAAAGCCCACCTACAACCTCCATTGCCCAAGAATCACTAAAAATTTCAAGGGATACTAAATTACCGTTTGTGTGCTTCCTGTTTGCTGCGACATTCTTCACAGTAATATTTATATTCACTGCATAGAGTTTCCGTGTTGCTAAAACCCCTGTATGAAATTCAAAATAAATTTATTGTGTCTATATACCAGAAAAATCATGCATTCATTTTAAAAGATTCTAAACCAAAGATATTCATTAAATTTCAAAATAAGTCACTCTGTATTTACCTTAAACAGTGAGTAATCGATGTGTTTTGTTCCACATCAACAGAAAGGTCTAAAAAATCCTCATCTTTGCTGCTTATCTGTAAAAATAGGGAAATATTTATTATATCTTAAAAAAAAATCAGCAAACCACTGTTCCAAAGTGATAGAATTAAATCCACTGTATTATTAATAATAACCATATGCATAATACTTTTTCTTAAAGTTCAAAAGAAAACTACCTAATAATTTGGATTGTTCAAGAGAATAGTGAATAACTAACTATATGGGCAGGCATAACACCAAATTTATGCCTCTCACGGCCTCTTAACTGGTAACCGCTAGCATAATGTGATATTCCATTACTTCCCCAAATTTGATGTTACTACAAAAGCTGTACCGTACATGCTAATTCTTTTAAAAAAAGAAGCCAAGACTGAATGGGAATGCTTGCAAAGATCTGGCTATCTATCTTTAGTATTTTAAGAAAATAATTTGACCAAAATGGAAAATTATAATCATGATTTATGCCTACTTTTTAACAAAAAAAAAAATCTAATAGAAAGTTCTGTGTGAGTCTGGATAAATCATCTTACAAACAAACAAACAAAAATAATGTTATCCACTCCACCCCCCTATGCCTCTCAACCAGGGAAGACTAAACATCCAACAGAGTAGCTACTTTCCTGTTTCAATACTGCATCAATGTTGTAAGCTCAGTGTCATTAACTTGTGATAATGTGGCTAGACATACACACAGAATGTATAGTATATACTGAAACAAGCAGGAGTACTGAGTAAACAGGAGTACTGAATGTACAAGGTAGTTACAATAAAAGATAACTGAGCTGGATCTCAAGTCAGTGAAGAAAGACAACTCAGAAAGGAGGAAAAAACCTGATGTGCTTAAAAGGAAAACAGCCAGCCCAGTTCTCTAGGAAAGTGGGTAAGGTGACAATAGATAGTATAGTAGAGGTAGGCTAAAGCCCAGTAAGGGTTTTCTTCAAATGTAGACTAGAGAAAAAAAAAAAATTTAAAGTCTGATGTTTCTCAAACTGAGATTTGTGATTCTAATATGCTTCCATCAGGGATCTTCATTTTTAATTTTCATTTTTCTGACAACAAAAACAATTTGATCTAAATATATTCTGGATCATCTGGATGTGTCTGAGTTACTATGTTTGTGTTTACAATTGTATTGGTGCCAGGTGTTCACTAACGTGGGGCAATCAGTCACTGCTGAAGTGCGCTAAGTCCTAATGTCAGGTCACACCAACCATCTATGTGGTATAGGTATAAAACTCAGTGGAAAAAAGTACAGGCTGGAGATCTGGACTCCTGAGTCATCAGCACAGGTGATAATGAAAATGAAACAAGAGCCTCCCAACGCAGGGAAGGAATGAGAATCTGGAACACATCCACATTTCAAGAATAAATGGAAGGAAAGCCAAACAATGATAAAGAAGGAACTCTAAGATAACATAATACCAGAAAAGAGTCTTACTAATCAGTTTACTACCAACTGTGACATTAACAACTGTATTAGTAAATTCCGCTACACAGGCCCTATCTGATGAAGCTTCACAAGCCCTCCCTGCTCCATTTTGGGTTGGGTCTATTATTTTCTGGTTCCCATGGCACCCTAAGTGTTCTCACATCATAACACATTTTATTGGTTTTAAATTTTTCTGACAATTTTCTGGTCAGTCTTCACCACCTTATAATCATTTGAGATCAGAAACTATGTCTTACCCATCTTTTGCTAACCCTTACCCATCTTCTATCTGGCACAAGTGGTATTTAAGTTATTTTTATAAACTGAAATGAAGACACTATACAGTCAGTCCTGAGAAACTGTGAATTTTGTCCCTCTAGCTTAGTTTCACTAGGTGTGGCACAAATGGTCATTTCCTGAATTAGCAAAATGATGGCTTGCTTCTTGAAAACATATTCTCAATTCACCCTCTTAATTCTTGTAAGGCAATCTGCAAATGTATATTACAGGTCTCAGGAAGATCGCTCCTATCAGTTTGTACTTCAGAAAGGTTTAAGCTTCGCTCCCTATCACAGTCCCATCTACAGAGTAAACTCCAAAGGTATTAGCACAAAATCTCCAAGAATTCCACATGAGGTATCAAATCACCTTGCCAGTTAGCACCTATCACTGTTATTTCTCAACATGCTAAGGAAATTCAACTATTTTCTATTTCTCTGAAGGCCTAGTTAAACATGTATCTCCTAATAAACCAAATTCCCTTATACCAAACATTAAGCCACTGCCAAATCCTCTGATTACATTTACTATTCTGGTAGAGTAGTAAACAGAATTAGTCTAATAATGGGGCAATGTCTCCAAAAGATTGAGAGTCAGTTATGATTTAAAATTTTTTTAACTAAAACATAATGAAAATACTCATCCTAAAATAACTGGAGTTAATTAGACTGAATTGAGATAAGTACTGAGTCTAATTCCCAGCATTAAGTATTACACACTTGACCATCACTGCAATTAACTGACAGCTGCAACAGCAACAAAGCAAACACCAATGACACCCTTATTCTAACCCAAAATTTTCTTTGCTGGCTGTTATTTAATGTATTCAAGCACTGATGACAGCACTGTAACTGGACCTAAGAGAGGCTCACCAATAAAAATTTCTTTAGAAAAGGGAATTTTAAAACTATAGTTGACAATACTAGTTCTACAAATGCTTGGTTAACGTTAAAAAGATCAAGGCATAGGCCCTCTCTGGTGGCACAGCGGGTTAAAGCACAGCACTAAGAAGCTAAAGCCACTTCAGCATGAGTTCAATCTCCGCCCCGGAGGTGACCACATGGCGTGGCAGACGTCTCCTGACCTGCCCGCTGCTCCCCTCAGCAGTGTTCTTCATCAATCTGCCTGTTTTGCTCCCCACTCTGTCTCCAGTGAGTATTCTCACCGCCCCTGTTCCTCTGGCCTGTACACCAGTTCTATATGTATAAATAAAGAAATCTTTAAAAAAAAGGATCAAGGCATAATCAATAGTCTTAATGGTATGGGTTATATTTATTTTTTACTGATGCTTGAGCCCAAAGTATCATCATTTGCTTAAAGAAAAAGAGGGGAAAACACAGAACTATTTACATTAGCACACCCTCCACAAAAGACAAACTTAGCTCTGAACCTAACAGACTATGTATATACAAGACTGACTTGAGGAACTACAAAACTCTATTGAAAGAAATCAAGAAGTACAGCTAGTATAGCCAATGTACTATGTGGATACTGTAATGTTGAGAAAATGAACATCCTGAATGAAAGAACAAAACAATTTCACCAATGAGGGGCAGATGGATGCTGTGTGCCTAGATGCCATATCCTGAGATCGATACAACATTAACAATGAACTGTTCCAGCCTAGAATGCATAACCTAAACCTAATTAGAAGGACATCAAACAAAACTGATATAAGGAATGTGGTATTTAAAAATAATAAAAAAAAATTAAAGGGACATGTTCTTCAAAAACACAAATATTATAGAAGATAGAAAAGACAGAAAATGTTTTAGTTTATAAAGGAGGGAAAAGTAAACGTGACTATATGCCAAGTCTAACGCTAAACTGGACTCTGTCTTGAAGGTGACAAAAGATCCTAACGGCATTACTTGTAAAACTGGGTAATGGATGCTTGATTATGAGTTTGATTTTTCATTCCTTATGTGAGGAGTCAGGTAACAAGGTAAGAACATAACAGTATATGAAGCTATGCACAATCAATTTTAATCTTCCCTACTGTTCATCTTTACAAAGTACCCACAGCAGATATTTTCCCCATCTTGAGTGTATACAGTATGTTTTTAACTGAGCCATGAAAAATAAAAGCAATCAAATGAAAAAATTAATACACTTCTCTTACTTGTAGGTGCATTAATATTCACTATTAATTATTTTAACTAAGATGGTAACAAATAAATGGTCTATTGAAACAAAATCAAACAGTTCAATCTGTATTAAATTCTTTTCTCAGTATATAATAATGTTCATAAGCAGCATTATTAAACCATGTAGACAGATACCTTTCAAGTGACAAGTTCATCTTTAAGATCTTTACTAATCCTATGAATTACAACTTTCATTTCCTTTACTAGTGTTCAATAAACTTTTGATACATTCAAATTTTTATCTATGCAAGACTTTATATGTACTTACAGTTTCACAAGTAAGACATCTGGTTTCATTAGTTAATGTTCCCTGAAAAATCTCATGAACCCATGTTGGGTCTGGTGTGCTGTTGTTATTTTCGCTGTCAATATTACCATTAGGTAAACGGCCATTTTGTTTTTCCTGTTTTCGCTCTTCTTGTAAAATATCAGCAATTGTATTTAGTAGATAATTTAAGAATTCATGGGCATCTTGTTGCATGTAGTTGTCAAAAAGTTCTAAAAATAAAAATATATTAGAGAATTATTCCAGAATTAATGACACCATTTAAAAAAACTAAACTTGGCCTTCCCTGGTGGCGCAGTGGGTAAAAGCACTGCATTAAGAAGCTTAAGCCGCTTCCTCATGAGTTGGATCCCTGTCTGCCCCGAAGGTGACCACATGGCACGGCAGACCTCTCCTGACCAGACCGCTGCTCCCCTTAGCAGTGTACTTCGACGATCTGCCTG